TTATTGACAATAAATTTCGTCATAACATTGTCAAAGTAGTCTGCGGATGCACTCGGCTATCGCCCAGTGGATCCACAGCTACTTTGACAATGTTACGACGGAATTCACGATCAATAACAGGACAGACGCATGAAAAACGGACGTCAATTTGTCAATTGAGCCTGTTTAGATCCATAGAATATTGTGGTAGACGCTAGATAGCTTTCGAAAAAAGCATTTTCATTCAAAGAAAAGATAAAATTATAACTCAACCCCAAAGTGGAAAATTTTACAGAAGAAAGTATATAAGTTGAGCGACATTTTGAGCAAAAATGTTTGTGGCCGACCTGAGCTCCTACGCAGTCAAGCGAGTGTCATGATGGCAAGCACAAAACCACCACAATCGCAGTTTCTGTCAAATGTATTATTTCGATTCTGTCCGTTTATAATCTGACTTCGCAGTGATTTAAAGAATTATTTTCTCATGGCTAAACACATACATAAGGGGGTTCTTGGACACTTTTATTTTCCCTAATCTCAGCTCCCAGAGGTCGTGAAAATAAAAGTGACCCAGAAACTCTCTTGTGTGTGCGTAGCCGCAAGGTCATGCAATGGCGTACGTTTTCAAATCTATCCAGCCGTGTAATTTTTCTTTGGAAAACCCGCTGGTGCACAACACGATTTCACAAAGGCCAATCTTGTCCCAGAATTATTTTCTATTGAACAAATATGTGCCCCTTACATAAACGGCAAAATGGCTCCTTCAAGGTTTTCGTCTAACGTGCTGGAGTTGTTTTATGGATGAAAACAAAAGACAAAAGAGCCTTCTCGAGCCTGTGAGGGCTGCGAGAGAGATATACATCGACTTTGAATTGCTTAGAAATAATGTTCGCGGGTGGCTTCGTGTATGGAAAATGACTGTTCCAAAAGGTTGTCCATGCAAAGCTGATTTTCTTAAATTTGGCAAAAAAGAAAAAAAAAAAGATTTACTAATCTGATTGACAAGTGTTAAAACACAATTTGGGATACTTGAAAAGCTTTCAATCGTCAGAAACAATGAGACACAATACATGGAAAATTATTTCAAACAAAATGAGCCTGTCATTTTTCACAGAAACAATGAAGCAACTATAAACAACGCATTTAAGACGGATTCCACTCAAAGTTCGAGCAATAACTGCAAAACTTATTTACTAAACGTCTACTCATAGCACGGTAAATTTTGGAATACTAAATAAAACAAATCACTTTAGTTCATTTCTCTATGTAACCTCGTGATTAACTCAAGCATTCTCGAGAAAGTTAATGTCAAACCTCGTAAGAATGCTTAAAGCGTGTGTTATTGTGCTTTTAACTAACGCGAAACGTCTGTTTTATTTAAAATATGGATAACTCAGTTGAAGTTCAATTTTGTCTCGCGGGGTCAACTTGAGAGCTTAAGTCTCGATAAGTTCTTCTTAACTGTATTCAAAATATTACCATGCCATGAGTTTTTTTGGTAACTTATTTTTTGCCATTATTGCTCGAATGTTCTGCGGAAATCATCTTAATAGCTTCACTGATCAAGGGAAAGGTGAAATAGACGCATGGTCGCGATGAGGTTCAGGCTGGGTGATTGAAGGGATTTTGGATGCATTTGTTAACGTTGCTCGATACGAAACATTTCGTGAAGGAACCTACTTTACTCTTCCAGAAAAGTTGAAAAGTAAGAAAGCAATAATAAATAATAATGATAAATACCTTACTAACGTCTTCTCGGTCTTCTTCTTCTTACTAGCGTCTTCTCGGTCCGTACTCTAAGTTACGGATCCTCGTTTTCCCCTTCGATTTATGAAATATATGGATAAATTTATATATCGATGAAACATATCGACAAATATATCGATTTATGAAATATATCGATATATTTACCCCATAAATCGATGGGAGAAAAAAACTCTGTCCGTAACTTATAGTACGGCCCTCGAACTCGGTTAAAAAGAGGTATCTATTTTCTATTCATTGAATATGCAAATTACTGAAGCCGGATGAGTTTGTCTTGCGATCGGACAGCCAAACACCCGTGCCTTTCAACAAGTCCTCACAAAGTATGGCTGCGTTCTCCATGAATTAAAGAAATACATGAATCAAGCAGGGTAATTATACGTCTAAGAAGACCCATTCATAGATACTCTGCACAAAATTTGAGAACCATAGACCAAATATCTAAACAATTTACATTATTTATCTAATGGATCAGTATATTTAAACCACTTTATATCTTGTCTGTACAATATTTATGGTTTTCCTCTTCACATCTTGCTATATTTCACAACAAATTTACGTGCACTAATTTTCTTTCAACACTTTTTTAAACATGGGAGCTGTGGTGGTCTAATGAGTGAGCTGAACTCTGCATCCAGCAGCCTGGGTTCCAGCCCTGGCTGAGATCATTGTGTCATATGTTTGGCCAACACAGTTTCCTCTCAGTCTCATAGCCTTTCGTTTCCCAGATGTAAAACTCTTATGGGTACCAGGAATTAACAGAGCTAGGTCACCTAATGGTTAGGCTTAGTACTGATCAACTGGTCACGGTGTATGATAATAACAACTCAAGACTGTAGAACTCAAAAGAAACATGGAAAAACCAAAAGGGGGCAACGACGGTAAAACTGGAGAGGATTAAAATGGATTAAATCTAGAAAAACTTGCAAATAATGGCCAAATGTTGTTAACCAAAATGGCATGAAAGTGTAATATGTAACATCCACACATAATAACATTTTTAATATATAACAATATTAAGAAATAACAAGAAACCGATGACAACTCTTTCGTTCCAGATTTAGCTCATCCTTATGTGACCGAAGATATTCCCTATGGACTGATAGTGATCCGGGGTATAGCAGAAATCGTGCAAGTGGACACTCCAACTTCATAACTTGGAATATTTTTCCTCGGGACGTTTTTACGGCGCTCTGAACGAGCATGAATTAGTTTTTGGCAATGGTCATGTGCATGAATTTTTTGGGTACAACTATTCTTGAGGATAATTTTCTTTTTTAAAAAATAATATATCCAACCGCCCCCTTAAAAACTCATATTGTCCACCGCTGAAACCATTTGATGTGAACTTAATTGTTCAACTGAAGTAAACGTATTCCGCACTGGTCTTTGTTGCGGTCGAAAAACAGAAAACGAAAAACTTGCCTGACAGTTTTCGCTTCAATATGAAATAAAAGATAAAGGAACCATCCTGTTCTCCGACCGACTATTGAGGTAAAACTGAGCGTTTATTATTAGATGCATGCGAAGGAGTCAACTCTATGACTCCCAGTAATTAAATGTAGCTTACGCGAAGCGCAGGAAAACGTGTGCGAGTGTTCACGATTGGTTTTGGTTTTACTTCTGATTGGACTCAAAGTGGCGCGAGTTTTTCAAGCCAATCGTGTTGTGTACTTGATGTAAAATCAATTACTTTTCGACATTAAAATGAAAGCCGCTATATCTACCTATGTGCATTACGCTTATTATAACAAAAAAAATTCTGTAAAGGGGAGGTTACTAATGGAAACTTTTAACTTAAAATCGATTGTTTTCAGCCAAGAAGGAAAAAACATACGAGACTTCTTCTCTGGAAGTTACGTTTGCTGTAGATACAGGAAAGTTGCAATGTTGTTTAACGGTAGGACTGCTACCATAATTTTGCGCTTCAGACAAATGTCGTGGTTAACCTCCAACCAACGTTATTACAAAGAAAGAGAAGAAAAAGCAAAGGATAAGGTTTGCATAAGTGTCATCTTTGTCTCGTATGATCATCGTAATGACGGATGAGGCATGCCCTGCTACCAAGTTCCTCCTGACAAATCCAACAGGTGAGGCTTTCAACTTGGTTTGAATTTTCTTCAATCACTCCTTTGTGAGTTCGTTCATGTTCCTTGCAATTTCCTAATTGGCTAAAGCACTTTTTACAATATTTGCATGTATACGGCTTCTCTCCTGTATGAATTCTTTCATGTTGCTTGCAAGTGGATGACTGAATAAAGCTCTTTTTACAATGCTTGCACGTATACGGCTTCACTCCTGTGTGAATTCGTTCATGTTGCTTGCAATCTGATGACTGGTTAAAGCACTTTTTACAATACTTGCATGTATACGGCTTCTCTCCTGTGTGAGTTCGTTCGTGTCGCTTGCAAGTTGCTGACTGGTTAAAGCACTTTTTACAATGCTTGCATATATACGGCTTCTCTCCTGTGTGAGTTCGTTCATGTTTCTTGCAATCTGATGATTGGCTAAAGCACTTTTTACAATACTTGCAAGTATACGACTTCTCTCCTGTGTGAGTTCGTTCATGTTTCTTGCAATTTGATGATTGGTTAAAGCACTTTTCACAATATTTGCACGTATAAGGCTTCTCTCCTGTGTGAGTTCGTTCGTGTAGCTTGCAAATTTCTAAACGGCTAAAGCACTTTTTACAATGCTTGCATGTATACGGCTTCTCTCCTGTGTGAATTCGTTCATGTAGCTTGCAAATTTGTAATCGGCTAAAGCACTTTTTACAATACTTGCATGTATACGGCTTCTCTCCTGTGTGAGTTCGCTCATGTTCCTTGTAAGCTGACAATTGGTTAAACAGCTGGCCGCAATTCTTGCGTTCGTATTCCTTCCGTTGTGTCTCAGTTGTTGTCATATTTATCAAAGTAGGTTTTGATTGGCTTAAACTTATACCACTCTTTGCGGATGTTGGAGTTGATTCCTTTTAAGGCATCTTGTCAACTGTGCTTTCAAGATAGCTGTCTCTACCATAGATTCCTAACGAAATGACAAAGAGAACATGATATAAGGTCACGTTATTTAGCGGGCAGCCCTACGCGAACCTGATTCATAATTCGAATAATGAACATGCTCTCAGGCTCGTTCCCAGGCATTAACTGATTGGAAGCCTTCATGGTCGTAAGGGTCATTCTTAGTGTGAAGAGGGGCCCTTGATCATCCGGGGGGGAGGGGGAGGGGGTTCGGGTATGTGTAGTTTCAAGCTAAAGTAATCTCGCTTATTTTCCTCCGCCAAAATAAAAACTAGACTGGCCTATAAGAGAGAACCTGTTTTAAAAGAACTCTGACTAGAGACACATTGGTTTCGATTTAATCTGTATTTTTGTTGAAGTCAAAGAAATTCAAAAGCTAGTCGTCAGTTCTGTTTGGCACAAACTTGTGGATGGCATCATTTTCAGAGCAAGTGCTGACCGGGGATTCGGTTTTTGTCTCGTAGAGTGACTTGTGATCGTGTAATGCTCTGATAATTATGCCTTTGAAAAGGTCTACACTAAGTACGGCTGAGTATGACTAAAGATATGAATCAAGCGTTTCCATAAATGACTGATAATTACGCTTATAAAACCACGTATTCAAAGGTACTGCGCACAAAATTTGAGAACCAAAAGCCTAATATCCTGTTCAAATTATTTATCTAATAAATAAGTTTATTTTTGCGTTCTCGAGGAACGAGAAATTCGTTTCGGCTGTCTGCAGCCAAAAAAAGTCGAGAGTTTTTGTGAAGACTGCAAATTGGCCGCCCCCTAGGTATTTTTTCAGGGGTTTTTGGCCTCGTTTTCGTGTCCATCTGCTACATCATTCTTGTCCTCTTTTGTGGCTTCTTTCATTATTTTCGACGCTTTGGGGTTTTCTTTGAACTGGTTATTCACTCTGATTGCATTCGACGAAAAAGGGAATGTAGTCCTAATGCAGACTGGAGTGAGATTTTTTGGCCGAGCGAAAACATATTACATCATCGCAAAGCCCGTGTATGCGAGACAATTTTCTTTTTCCATCACTCGCGATCGCTCCCGATCGCTCGTTTCTAGTAGTTTTGACTCTGGACCGTGCGTGGACTGTTTGGTCTGGATGCGAGATGACGTGCTTTTGTTACATAACTGGGACAACAATTACTTATTCTGTTCACGAACGCGACTTCAGTTGAATCGCCTTGGCTTTTGGGATGGCTATATTTTGATTACATATGCTGACTTGGATAATTCCAGTGGCCACAAAATATAAATTCAGTCTGTATCCAGCTAAAGTCAAAATTGAATCGATGGAAGAGTACTCTGAAGCCAAGACCTATAAGAGTAAGCCAAAACTAAGGAACAGCAATGTAAATGCTAACTATTTTTATTCATCAGCGGAAATAATAATTATTGCCGGTCGAACGAAGTTTGTTTACAATAAGTAAACCATGGATAAACCGACACGCGAGTGCAAATGTTACAGATATTTTAGCTGATATTTGTGCTTCCAGCTTAGAATATTAGATGTAACACAAGTATTCCTTTAAAAAATTAGCCTTTAAGCTTAAACGTTACTACTAAATGTAAAAATGAGATGTTTAGCATGAATTTTTAAGACAAATGTTTCACTAAACTTGTGAGTTTACTGAAGCTGGAGCCGTCACGCAAGGTATCATCAAAGGTCATCAAATCGTAGTTGAGTAGATGGGACCTCAATTTGCTAACAATAAAGCAAGGAAATCACAGAACAAGAGTGTACTTTGTCAATATGTTTAATTTGTCTGTAAAACTTGACCCGTTCCATAAAGATAATGATTTCAGCAACAGACAACTATTATCACAGGCGTAAAACGCACTCTTAATCTTAGATTACTACTAGTATCTAATTTACATCTTGTTTCTGCGATATGTGATGGTTTTCTCTTCACATCTTGCTACATTTCACAACACATTCACTTGCACTCATTTTCGTTCAACATTTTAATGTCAAGTGGTGTAATGGTGAGTGTGCTGGATGTTCTGGATCCAGCAGTCTGGGTTCCAGCCTGGCTGAGATCATTGTGTCATGTGTTTTGGCAAAACAGTTTCCTCTCAGTCTCACAGTGCCTTTCTTTATCCAAAATGGGTATCAGGAATTAACAGGGGTAGCTCATCTAATTATTAGCCAATTGTAGCACTGATCAACTGGTCATAGTATGACGCTTAAGGTGATTCCTTAGTATTGCATTGCGCATCCCCACTGCGCACGATTTTCGCGTCATTAGCGCGTGCACATGAGCACGTGCGCGTACAAAACGTGAGAGATTTCCCTCAAACTAAGCTCGATAGCGAAATAAATGCTCCTTGTCTTTTAAACGAGCACGGTAAGCCCCACTTTTTATTTCATAATTTCAATGAGAACAATATCCTCAATAACTGAG